ATACATATATATATATGTGTGCAGCGGCATGTGTGTTGCGTGACTGCATATAGGCGGAATTGCTCCTAGTGCCTGTGGCTACAATAGTAGAGATATTTATGCTATTTCACTGCTGAACGATCGTTTGACAACATGTGTTAAGAATGTAATAATTGCAATGTTTAACAGATGGCAATGCTTCCTGGGAGCTATAATATTAAAGAGCCTTACAATGGCAGGACTGGTGGAGAGCCCCAAGCTAGGCATGACAAAGTAAGTGCACAGAGCTATACAAACACCGAACATGGCATTATTGAACATAACAGAAGTATACTAAGTTTAGAATAGATATGAGAATGTGTTGGAACATTCTTGTTGCCCCTAAAGGAGGAAACCACTTGCATTAATAGAATTCCACGCATGCTGGGACAATTGTTCCAATAGTCGCCGCCCATCGTGTTATATTACGTGACATTTATGATTTATCAATCGATTGCCATTAATTCACGTGAGATGTGGCATGTACTGTCTGCGATATATTTATTTTTGGCTGAGCATATTGATGGTTTGTTCTAGAAGGGAAGCCCTGTCCAATATTCCAGTAATGGTTATATATACCTGCAGCATCTACACTGGTTCGAAGGCTCTCTCACAGCTGGTGAGTATCACTTCATTAATCTCTAATTTTAGCCTAAAATAAATTTAAATAATAAAATAAGCCTAATTTAATCTAAAGCCTAGCGCAGACCTGTGACCTTTTTATGCAACTCGACAACGATTCTAGAATTGCTGTAGAAATTGCTGTGAAATTGCTGCGTCTGCGGGAACGTGGAACTGCAACCCGTAGCGATTCTGGTCGTTTGCAACGAGTTGCAAGAAATCAAACTGTTTTGATTTTGAGCGACTCATCGCTCCCAAATTGCTCTAGAATTGCTTCGAAATCACATGTGTGCGCACACGCGGTGACACATCGACCGATCGCTTGCGGTTGCAGGTTGCAGCGATGAGCAACCAAAAATCGCAGGTCTGTGCTAGGCCTAACCCAACATCGCATCACACGATAGAATGTCGAGGAGAAGAGAAGTGTCTGACTCATATATCAATATTTCCCTATACTCAGTTAGGCTAGAGTTCCTTTATAGAGAGAGTAGGACCCCCTATTATATTACCCCTTTATTTCAAACACCCTATGTTGCTACTCTCTATAAAGGGACTCTAGGTTAAGCACATGTAATGCGTAAGTCTGTAATTCAGTTTCACGGTTAGAGATTTGTAACATGTAAGTGCACAATTAGGCTTCAGTGTAGAGAAAACTTGACTGATCTTTATTTTTGCAGCCGATCCCTATCTTTGTGTGCCTCCACAACATTTTGCTTCCGATTATGATACTTGGACGCTTGGCATTTGCTGGGCAGGTGAGCAGAGTCCATATCAGGAAACAATTTTCAAGCCGACAATTCCGTTGGTTCACACTGACACTGATGCTACAGCACTGATTGTCAATGCAAAAATATAAATAACGTTTTTATCTGCAATCGTTCGATTCGAAGTTTGTATTTTTTTGTCGATTTGATGTTTCTTTTTCTCGGCCGTTTCGCTGTTAATTCGAGCATGAGACAGTGCTTGGTCACACGTTTCAGATGCCGAGCGTGAGGGTGTGGCTTTCCGCGTCTCTTCTGATCGTGTCTACCTTCGCAGCCGGTTTCTCACTATCCATCGATGACTGGACTCCGTATTGGTGGATGCTCGCTCACATCTCATCTGCTGGTAACTATGAAACACGTTCGTAAAACTCGAGAAATGGACCCGTCCGCCTGGCGCGATCGACAGGTAGCCCCAGCCACTCAGCATTAAGGTAGCAAGTTCTAAAGATGATGCTTGGCAATTAAAGTGATTACATCACCGTAAATATTAAAAAATAAAAATAAATATTTCCACTTTTTCACAAAATATAAGTAATTCTGTTCACTTTTTATTGTTAAATTGCTGCATTATACTTCTTATTTTACTATATTGTTCGATGTGAACATACACTCGTGACGCATACATAGCCCATAGCAAGCACAATTAATGCAAGAACACTAATATCAAATCGTCCAGGTTTTTTGGATTTTTAACTAGTTGAGAAACAATCTTATCAGGTAAGAATTTGACGATACGTTTAGTCCCGCTAGTTCTTACTTTTAATGTAAAAAAATGGCAACAAAATTTTTACAAATTTTACCATAGAACATTCGTCACATAGTCAATTTATGTATCGCAAAGTCAACATTTTGGCGTTCACGCATGAAGAACGAATACAAGCTGAGTGAGCTTGATCGAACTAGTACAAGCTGAGTGAGCTTGATCGAACGAGTACAAGCTGAGTGAGCTTGATCAAACGAGTACAAGCTGAGTGAGCTTGATCAAACGAACGAGTCATAATTCCCAACAAGACTATGGTTATCTAGCTCAAGGGTATGGATCGATTATCGTACATTTTAATTACAATTATAATCGTAATTATAATGAGAATAGTAGCTGTGTGATCAGGCTCAGGATCCCGTTGTCAGAAACAACACACAGATTAATGAGTGAGAGTAATCATGTGACTTGCACACATAACGATGGCGGTATCTCTCTGTGTGTGATCGCATGTCTTTGCGTTTCTGTTCACAGCTTTCTATCATCTGTACCGCCTCAGGAGTGATTGCTGCCTGCATGAAGGGTAATGCACTAGTCAGCCGTCCTCTCTAAAGTACAGTCAAACCAGTAGCCATGGCAGTAACCCAGCTAACCATGGTAACAAGTGTAACCATGGTAGCCAGTGAAACCAGTGTAACCATGGTAACCAGTAAAACCAGAGTGCCAACGTGTAATTTTTGATGAGCAAGTCTACGACAATGTAACTGTAATGTGTCTTGCCTTGTCTGTTTTAGGAAGATCGCGCACATTTTTCAGTGCTATCTATTCAGTGTGCTGGTGCTGGCGCCAGCGAGTGTATTCCTCGGTAAGTTGATAACGTAGAAACGATACAGTCAATCAAACCTGTGTTATGCAGTCACATCTCGCGCGAGGCAGCGTGCGTCTAGGATTGTGCGCGAGTTAGGTTAGCGCGTGTTTAGAATTGCCCGCAAATGCACGCGTCGTCAATAATCTCTGTCACGTTAACGTATCGCATAGAGTATCGTTAACATATCGCATAGAGCGGACAACGGAATGTGTCACGCGTTAGCTAATCGGCGGTGTTCTTGTGTTTGCATTGTTTGGCAGGAGACGCGTTAGCGGCGCAGTCCTTCCCGTTGCTCTACTTCTATCGCTTCTACGTCGGCTGCGTGATCAGGTACGCCGTTGCACCCGTGATGGGCGGACTCCTCTCCCTGTAGAAAGGACACCTGTCTATAAAGGACACTTTGTGACGTATTCTCCGCGTAGCAGTTGTGTAGTGCAGCCGCATCTGTAGAACAGACACCTGTCTATAAAGGACACTTTGTGACGTATCCTCCGCGTAGCAGTTGTATAGTGCAGCCGCATCTGTGGAACGCATACTTGTATGTAAGGGACACACTTGTTGTTCCCCTTGGCTGGCAGTTGTACAGTGAAACCCCCCCTCAATTTTTAGAACAGGCGCATATAAGGGACCTATAAAGGACACATCGTTCTCATAGTGACTCTTGTGCGGAGGTTTAACCCTATATCGGGTTGATTTGCAGCGGTTTCCTCGGAGCTCTACTGCAGCTCTACGTTATCAGGCTGGAGGATGGCAAGGCTGCAGCTTCCTTGTGTAGCAACACAGAGTATCAGCATGTAGTGAGCAAGGTAACCATCATACATACATACATACAACACACCCACACACGCATGCATATGCACTCATAGGCTGCACGGAGAGGAAGGAGGCTGCACGGAGAGGAAGGAGGCTGCACGGAGAGGAAGGAGGCTGCACGGAGAGGAAGGAGGCTGCACGGAGAGGAAGGAGGCTGCACGGAGAAGAAGCTGGGCTGTAGAGAGGAGGATACACTGTGGAGAGGAGGCTGTGATGTGTATTAAAGAGGAAACCTAGGCTGTGGAAAAGAGGTTGTGGAGTGTACCAGAGAGAAAGCTATGCTGTGGATTGTACCAGAGAGGAAGCTATGCAGTTGATTGTAGCAGAGAGAAAGCTATGTTGGGGATTGTAGCAGAGAGAAAGCTATGCTGTTGATTGTAGCAGAGAGAAAGCTATGTTGTGGATTGTAGCAGAGAGAAAGCTATGCTGTGGATTGTACCAGAGAGGAAGTTATGCTGTGGATTGTACCAGAGAGAAAGCTAGTGGAGAGGGGGAGGGTGCTGTGTTGTATACTGTGTGTAGAGGGAAATGTAGACGTGAAGATATCCGCTGTCAGTAACGCTGCAATCGTAATGTCAGTCATGATCGCCACGTTTCCCGCGCACTGGTGTTGGAACTCATAGTCATTCGTAGAGATTTGATGTCTCTTACAACGCCCCCTCTGCCCTCGGGGGTGGTGTCTATACTTATGTGCCAAAAGCTTATGATTAGGCAAACCTAGATTGCCTAGAACAGCTTGTTTATCCATTTATGGTGGGCAAATAGGTCAGTTAGTTGGAATTAATTATTAAATCATATCGGAGTGGGTAAAACCATGTTTGTATTCACTCCTGTTTTAAATGATATTGAGAATAACAAATCACACTTTATTGAATTCTTGGCATGAAAATTGAGCATCGATTTATAATGTGGTTGTACATAATTATATATGAAATATGATAACTTTGTTATATTGAAAGTAAGAAACAATACACTATTTTTCTTAGTTTCTTTTCTGTCAATACGCCGTTTGACGCCGATGTTTGCCTAATTCTGTTGGGACATTTACTGTTATCGGAACAAACTCTTCAAGTGTAGGAAATGTTTAGAGAGTTCTCCACACAAAGAATATATTTTTGCTCATATTTTTTTTTATCAAGACAGCAGTGAGGCGAAATGACACATAGTTGGAAGCAACAGACACGTGTATTAAAGGTTAAATTATCAGCGGGACTTCTAATTCTACTTCTACTTCTATACTGGACAGTCCGTAAGGAATAAACGTCCAGGTCTATAGCTAGCCATGGGGTGAGTATGAGCAGATAGGAGAATGCAGCCTCCTCCTCCTCCTCCTCCTCCTCCTCCTCCTTCATCACTCACTCACTCACCAGCTTCTGCTTGAGTCCGTCGAGCTGCCGGCTTCTCGCTTCCAGCAGACACGACATAAGCTTGTTCTGGTGCGCAAGTATCCCCGTCTCGTCGCTCAGCTTCTCAACCTGAAACCATGGCAACACGGGGAGATGAATGCGTGGATGCTCGGGTCTGAGAGCGGTGGCCGGGGTGCGGGGCTGGGCTGCGATGGCCGTTTACTATATGTGGCCCGATTAAGAATAGACTAGACAGCGTAGATACTTGGGAGACGACACACTTACTCACACGACTACGACTCGCGCACATGTAGGCACGCACGCACGCACGCACACAAACACATGCATACAAGCACGCACACGCACGTACGCACGCACGCACGCACGCACGAATGCATGCATGCACATACAGAACAAGACACACAGAAACGTACATATGCACAAATACACACAAACACAAACCTAGAGAACGGCGCAAACAGAACACATACACATATATACAGACATGTTCAAGGACACACGCGCGCGAGCACACAAACGTACTGGACAGGCTAACGAGAGAGTACACAGATACAGACTACACAGAGAGACGAAGCCCTCCTCCCCTAGGCCACCGCTGCCGACGCCGACGACCACCACGGAAGCTGCAGAGCTCCACATCCTCCCGCCGCTCCCGCATCTGTCGCCACGGCGACCACGCTCGCCGCTGCCCACCTGTGTCGCGAGGTTGCTGTTGTCGGCCCGCAGTCTATCGCTCTGTTCTGCGGCTCGCCGAAGGGTGGATTGTACGGCGCAGAGCCTGTAGTTGGCGGCGGTGAGCGCTCCGTTCTCATCCTGCAGCTGCTGCAGCTTCTCAGCGAGGTTGTCGATGAGCATGTCCTGCAGGTGAAGCCGTGAAGCTGTGTGTTAACATACGCGTGCGCGCGTGTAGACATCTCTCTCTCTCTCTCTAATAGAACGGATGCCTGTCTATAGAAGAAGCTTCTAGAGATTCCCTTAAATTGACTTCTCTCTCACATAAACCTGTAATGTAGGGGTTCTTAACCTGTGGTCTATGGATGGGCTTCAGGGGGTCTGTGATCCAGGTGCATGCAGAAGTTTGTGTTTATCTGCTTACGTGCATATATCTGGAGAGGGGTCAGTAGCTTTCACCAGATTCTCAAAGAGGTCCATGACTCAAAAAAGGTTAAGAACGACTGCTGTAATACATCTCGAATAAAAATCTTAATCTTGCGCGAGTTTCACCTCCCCAGACGTGCGTAAACGGTAGCGCCCTCTATCACATTACAGGTCGTCGCCGTGCCGCTCTCCTTCCTCACGTTCGACGACCTCGACACCTCGAAGCCTCTGCTGCCCTGGTGAGTCACAAGGTGGCGCCACCGGCTGCGCCGTCATCGTCGTTGACGAATCCGTTCCTTTTTTTTTTGATCCGTTTCAAATTTTGGATGGATCTGTTTGAATCGTTCGAGTAACTTGTTGCGTAACTATGTTATTTCTGTTTGCTGTGCAGGATGATGGTGAACCTCGGAGCGAGCGTCGCGCTGAGTTGTTGGAAACCTGCCAGCGAGGGTGACGCTGGCGCCACCACAGCAACGCGGGAAAACACGCTGTTATAGGGGGCGCTGCTGGAGAACACGCCGGTATAGGGGGCGCCGCTGGTTTGTGATGCCAGATGCGCGTGGGGGGCACATTGTGCAATTCTGTTTGCATTTGGTCAATAGAAGCATTTGAGAATGATCTAAGATGGCCATGTATTTTTCTATCCATAGTTAATTAAATAGTACTTTTAAGTATTTATTAATAACCTGATATTAATAACAATTAAAAAAACTAGTAATAATAATAACTGCAATGATTCCAACCTTGCTATAAACTTAGTGTAACTATATATATTTTAAATGCACAGATGCCATTCCATGTTAAGATGTGACATCTAATACTGTGATACACATTCAATTCTTTGCAGTTTGAAGGAATGTATCTATAAAGCTGCTGAATGAAGGTGGTAGTTTTCAAGGTAAACTACTTTAAAAAAATACTTTACTGAAGTAAAAGATATCTGATGGGAATGAAAACTTGCTCACTAATATCGAAGTCATATTTTTGTACCATAATTGGGTGTACACCACTACGTAAATACAATAACGAAAACCAATATTCGACTTTATGCGATTTTACACGATCTTTTATTTCAACTATGATCTCGTACTATGTACACTGCATTGCTAATTTGTAACATAATGAGACAAGCGGACGCACGTTCACGTACGGCGCTGGCAAATCGCTGACGTGATTGTTTCGATTCATGTAAAGCATTTCCCGTTTCAGTCTTAAGAGGCGTTCATGATTATTTACGCGTGGAAACGTGGAAGTTTAGCAGGTTTAAAACAACAATAATTTAATAACAAATTCAAGGGGATTTCATTTCAATGACATGGCAAGCTTGATGGCAGATGACAGATACTAAATAGTAGCTGGTAAATAGTAGATGGTAAATAGTAGATGTTAAAAGGTACACGATTATTGATAAATTGTAGACAGTAAACAGTAAATTGATAAAATCTTGACTCAATCTTGCTTGCAGGTGAAAACACGTAAAATGCGCGCTAGATATGTGTAAAAAAATAATATAGGTGTATATATGTAAAAAAATAATATAGGTGTATATATGTAAAAAATAATATGGGTGTATATATTTAGAAAATAATATCGGCATATATATGAGAAAAAAACATCTTGGGGGGGGAAAAATTGCCCTGGAGGGTAATCGCACTTCCTCGTCGACCAATCGCGTGTCGTCGCCGCCTCAGTAGCGCGCGGCGTGCTGCGCCACGTGTCTTCGTATCACCTCCTTCTCCGTGCCCTTGGGGAAGGTCATGCGGCACGTCGGGCAGCTCTTCCCGGACGAGGGCGGTTGCTGCGGCTGCGCGCGGCGGCCCTTCCTGCCCGCCGCCCCGCCTCCCCCGGCCCGCAGCGGCGGCCCGCACGGACGGTAGTACCCGGGGCGTCGCTGCGTCTTGCGTCGCGCTCCGTTCATCGCCCGGCACGCCGCCCCCGCCGCCTCCTCGTCCTCCGTCCACGCCGCAGCGGGCATCCCCGCGTCGTCATCGTCGTCGTCGGGTAGCGGGGTCGTTGCCGGGGTAACGAGGTCGTTGTTAGGTCGCGAGGCCGTCGCCGGGGTAACGAGGTCGTCGTTGTCGGGTTGCGGGGTTGTAGATGTTGCGTCCTTCTCCCGCTCTGCCATCTCGACCTGGGTCGCCCACGGGAGGCTCTCAACGTCGACCTCTGACCTTGCCGAGGTCACGGGGGTCGCAGGGGTCACGCCAGAGGTCACAGGGGTCGTGGGGGTCGCACCAGAAGTCATGGGGGTTGCATCAGAGGTCGTAGGGGTCATGTCAGAGGTCGCAGGGGTCACGTCAGATGTCGTGGGGGTTGGAGTCTCGTCCTCGTAGCGTCTCCGTAACTCTTTCTTCATGTTGCGCGCTGAAGCTTCCTGCGCTGCATTTTGAAATACGTCCCGGGCTGCATTCTGGGAAGCATCCTGCACTGCATTCTGGGATATGTCCTTCGCTGCATTCTGGGAAGGCGGGTCGCAGAGCTGAGCTCTGCGGAATTCATTGACGATGGCGGCAACGGCGGGGAGGGAGGTGGCGCCACCGCACGTCGCCTTGTCGAAGAACGCTCGCACAGGCGGAGTCAGCTCCTCCCCCTCCTTCTCCTTCCTCTCCTCCTTTGTACCTACAGTAGCAGCAGCAGCAGTATTAGTATTAGTAGTAGCAGCAGCAGCAGTATTAGTATTAGGACGTAGCCAGCGAGCCAGCAGTTTAGTATTAGTAGTAGCAAGCAGCAGCAGTATTAGTATTAGCAGTAGCAGCAGCAGCAAGTATTAGTATTAGTAGTAGTAAGCAGCAGCAAGCAAGTATTAGTAGTAGTAGCAGCAGCCAGCAGCTAGCAGCAGTATTAGTATAGCAGTTAGTAGCAGCACGCAGCAGTATTATTACAGTGATAGCAGACCCAGCAAGCAGTATAGTATAGTATAGTAGCCAAGCAGCCATATTTAGTATTAGTAGTAGCTGCCCAACAGTATTAGTAGTTAGTATTAGTAGTAGCAGCAGCAGCAGTAATATTAGTATTAGCTAGTAGTAGCAGCAGCAGTAATTAGTATTTTAGTAGTAGCTGCAACAGTATATTAGATATTATAGCAGCAGCAGCCAGCAGTATTAGTATTATAGTTAAAGCTGCAACAGTATTATTAGTATTAGTAAGCAAGCAGCAGCAGTATTAGTATTAGTAGTACAGCAGCAGCCAGTATTAGTATTAGTATTAGCTTAGTTAAGCAGCAGCAGCAGTACTTAGTAAAGTATAGTAGCGCAGCAGTATAGTATTATAGTAGCCTGCCCAACAGTATTATTAGTATTGAAGTAGCAGCACAGCAGCAGTGATTAGTAGTAGTTAAGTATAGCAGCAGTATTAGTCATTAGTAGCAGCAGCAGCAGCAGTTAGTATTAGTAGTAGCAGCAGCAGCGTATAGTATTAGTAGTAGCAGCAAGCAGCAGCAGTATTAGTATTAGGTAGTACGCCCAGCAGAGTATTAGTATTAGTAGTAGCGAGCAGCGCAGCTTATTAGTATTAGTTAGTAGCAGCAGCAGCCAGTTTTAGTATTGAGTAGTAGTACCAGCAGTATATTCAGTATTAGTACAGTAGCTACTTCTCTGTGACAACTTGATCCTCGCACGCTTTGACTGTGGTCCTATTAGCAGCAGCAGCCAGCAGCAGTATAGTATTAGTAGTAGCATGCAACAGATATAGTATTTAGTATTCGAGTAGGAGCCAGCACAGCCCGAGTATAGCTATTAGGTATAGTAGCAGCAGCCAGTATTCAGTCATTGAGTAGTAGCAGCAGCAGCATGTATTAGTAGAGTAGCTGCATGGAGAGGACCGTGTACTTGACAAATGCTGTGATGACAGTAAAGAGCGCAGAGACACAGAGACGAGCGAGAGAGAAAGGAGTGACAGTGACGAGAGAGACAGAGATCATTGCAGAGATCACCTAAGCCCGGCTGCGTGTGGTAACCACGACGCATTCCTGCTGCTGCTGTCCTTGCTGTCGGACCGCTCTTCACCGCCCCGCCGCCGTCTCTGTCGTCGCCCGTGGCGGGCGTGGGGAGACAAGTATAGCGTATCTTCCACAAGCTGCTCACCAGAAACTGCCGGCCACGCCACTCCCACAGGGCGGGCCTCCGCTGCGAACCTGCGGCTGCTGGCAGGTGGCGCCTCGCCGACTGCGACGGCGGCTGTCCGTTGGCAGGTGCGCCTCGCGTCTGCGACACTGCAGCTGCTGCAGGGGCGCCTCGCGGCGCGACAGGGCGGGCTGCTGGCAGGTGGCCGCCTCCGTCTGGCTGCCGATGTTCTGTGAAGGCCGAGAGAATACGAATTGCGCTGACACTTGGTAATTGTCGTTGACGCAGCCTACTGGATAGGTATTCTTATCTTGCACGGTGTGTAATTGGCTTGACGAGTAGTCGGCTTAGGTGACCTTACCTGGGAAGTGTGTAATTGACTAACAAGCTACTCTGCCAGGTGACCTTACCTGTTTTAGCGCGTGTAATTACCAGTTAACGAAGCCAGCTACCTCTTTGCTGGAAGAATCCTTTCATGAGGATCTGCCTGCAGGTTATGTAGGCGGATGCAGTGTCGGAGGTCGCTCCTGCATGCGCCGGCACCATGTCCGCGTGTTCCTGCGTCTCATAACAGATATTGATATTAAGCAGCCTGCACTATTACACATACATACATACGACGCCACACACGCCACATTTACGCAAGCACGCACCGCCACGCACATATTTACGCAAGCACGCACGCACGCACACACACATTTACGCAAGCACGCACACACGCACATTTATGCAAGCACGCACGCACACATTACGCAAGCACGCACACGCACACATTTACGCAAGCACGCACACATTTACGCAAGCACGCACGCACGCACATTTACGCAAGCACGCACGCACGCACATATTTACGCAAGCACGCACGCACGCACACATTTACGCGAAAGCACGCACACACGCACATTTATGCAGCACCGACGCACACAGTTTACGCAAGCACGCACACATTTACGCAAGCAGCACGCAAGAAACGCACGCAATGCACACATTTACGCAAGCACGCACGCACACACACATTTACGCAAGCACGCACGCACGCACACATTTACGCAAGCACGCACGCACGCAACGCACACATTTACGCAAGCACGCACTCATGCACACATTTACGCAATCATGCACGCACGCACGCACACACACATTTACGCAAGCACGCACGCACACATTTACGCAAGCATGCACGCACGCACGCGCACACACATTTACGCAAGCATGCACGCACGCACGCACACACATTTACGCAAGCACGCACACACGCACGCACACATTTACGCAAGCATGCACGCACGCACATTTACGCAAGCATGCACACACACACACACACACACATGCACGCACGCATGCATGTACACACACACATTGTAATGCTACCATCAGTCTTCCCTGCAGCCTTCACCTTTCCCTGGATTCTTAGCAAAATTAATGTGAGTGTTCCCTGATTTTCCAGGCTTCCCAATGTTTGGTGTGAGTCTGCAGCGCACGTACTCTCTCGCGTACGACGATGGCCGAAAGAGACTCCTCCTTCTCCCTGGTCTCGCGCACAGCAGTGTCAGCTTCCTCTAGCTTTCTCTCCAGCTCGAGTTTCTCCTCCTCTCTCTCCTGCAGTGACGGAAAGTGAAATGTTGACGTTTTAATACATGTGTCCTGTTGTACGCGCGTGGTGTTGTATGTAAACATAAGATGTTGTATATATACATATGATGTTGTAGGTATAGATACGATGTTGTAGGTATACATACAATGTTGTAGGTATACATACAATGTTGTAGGTATACATATGATGTTGGAGGTATACATACAATGTTGTAGGTATACATACGATGTTGTAGGTATACATGGGATGTTGTAGATATACATATAATGTTGTAGGTATACATACGATCAAGAGCTAATAAACACCTTAATGTATTTATTAGCTCTTGATACGATGTTGTAGCTATGTGCATAATGTTGTACTCACTCTGAGTGTTGCGTCGAGTTGCGAGTGACTGCTCACCATCTCCGAATGTTGCTTCTTCAACAGCTGCTGCTGCTTCTCAACTCTCACCTAAAACCGTCACCATCGCTCACAATCAAACACGATCCAGGAAGGGAGGGTGTATGGAAACTTCGCTAGAGGGAAGATTGTACTGAAACTGTTACTGTACTGTGAAAGGGAGAGAAGTACTAGGAATGTTATAGAGGGAGAAAGGTTACAAGTACTGAGACTGCTATAGAGATAGAGAGGACATACTGGTACTGCTATAGAGATAGAGAGGTTGTACTGAGACTGTTATAGAAGGAGAAAGGTTGTACTGATACTGCTATAGAGAAAGAGAGGTTGTACTGAGACTGTTATAGAGATAGAGAGGACATACTGGTACTGTTATAGAGGAAGAAAGGTTGTACTGATACTGCTATAGAGGAAGAGAGACATACT